TTGTAAGATGAAAAAGTGATTGAAAAGACGTCTTCCGGTGAGATGTTTTTACCCCAAAAGAGACTGGATACAATTCGGCCACAAGAGGGCGTGTTGTACGAGCAAAAGCACGGACATGCGCACAAACCTAATGTTGCCATGAAAACAGGTGGATTTGGTCAGTATCAAATCAGGGCATAAATGATTAAAGTGCGCATGCGCAAAATATACCGCCCCTAAAGTGGTAACAAGCATTTTGATAGACATTTAAAACAAAACCAGGGTGATAGCGCCCTAAAAGCTGCCACCGCTGCAATGCTATCACATTATTTTCCGACTCTGGAGGTGTATACATTGCCAAACATCGCTATATCTGTTGTTTTCCTGTTTTGGTACCGGTGGCCAAGCGTTGGGACCATGCTGATGGCCTAAATGGCGTTGCACACATAATGATCACAGTATGCCATTTTATTTCGTGCAAGTTCCGTCGAAAAAATGATTGTGCACAGGCTAGGCCCAAAGATCCTATAGCGCCGCATATGTGAATATACGAACCGAATATATGCTTCAATTAACTGAATATCATCTTAAGAATGCAACCTGATTTCCCACAACATTTTGATGAAAACTTGTTGTCAAGTTGTGACTTTTTTACCACGATAAGCTATGCGGAGATTCACGTGAGGGCGTCCTGAACACCGCGACTCAGCACTCTAAAATGGCGGCGGCTCGGCTCCGTTACAAACATGAACACGGCTTTTGTGTTCAAAATTCCGTAACTTGAAAAAGTACACGAGTGATTTGGATGATTCTTAAACATACAAGACCAAATTAAATTTGGTCTTGAAAGACAAGTTTTGGTTGAATTTAGTAGTATGATGTTACATTTGTTGGAGTTTAATTTCATTCCCCAGTATACATGTATACATTTTAGGTTGTGGGTGTTCGACAATACCTCGAAATCCGATATTTCGTCGCAGAGCTGACAAACCGACGAATAAGCGAAAACCTTGTTTGGAGTAATTCGCGTTTGAAGTTGGACACTTCTCCGGGCGCCGTATTTTACCCTTAATGTTTCGATAAAAAAACTGTTAGTATATATTCTGAATAAAATATGAAACTAAGTATCCACCAGGTCACTTATTTAATCAGAGAAGTTGTGCGATATGGTTTTATTTGATCGTTAACGCATTCGTCAGTTTGTCAAATTACATTAATCGGCAATATCCGGTTGTTCTTCACACTGTTTGTATGCTATTCGTCAGTTTGTCGGATCGCGCGTGCACGCACGCGCAATCCGACAAACTGACGAATAACATTCGTTGGTACTTTGAACGCACACCTTACATAAGCTGGTTACCAGCGAAATGTGTGTAGCTATTCGTCAGTTTGTCGGATCGCGCGTGCACGCACGCGCAATCCGACAAACTGACGAATAACATTCGTTGGTACTTGGAACGCACACCTTACATAAGCTGGTTACCAGCGAAATTTCGTATTCGTCACTATGTCAAATTATGGATTTGTTTTTGTGAGTGATTCACCACAAGGGGGGCTCTGAATCTCAAAATCCAGACAAATATTAAGAATTTTGGCATAAATACTTGAAAGAGCAACCTTCATAAGGCCTAAAAATAACAAAAAATCGAAATCGCCAAAATGGTCGATTCGCCGGTTTGTCAGATCTGCGACGATTTTGTCCTCATGCGAAAAGGGGGGGGGGGTCGATTTAATAGCCCATTACCCTTGTCAAAAAGTGTTGGGGGTTACATACCCCCGTCCCCCGGGATTTTTGCCCCTGGTCTTGGGCCACTTTCCTTGAAACGGAGTTAAACACACGAAGAATGGGTCATTATGGTTCAGTTTATCATTTGAATCAAGGATTTTTGGAAGAACAGGAGATATAATTTCAGACAAAAATGGCTTAAGTGGTTTTTCAAGTCCCGTTTTGCTCTTCTATCTTTTGAACGAAACATCTTATAATGAAACCAACTAAAAAGCATTGGGAACGGTCCTCAGCAACAATATTAGACATCAAGTTTGAATACTGCCCCCACTTTTAAAAACATGCCCGATTCGAAGTTATATTTTTTTTGTGGGGACAGACAACCTGTACACAATTTCTGCCGCCCAATTTAAACATGTAAAACAACAGTCCTGGAAATTTAGGGAAAGGGGATCAAGACATGGAAAAAAATGGGGTGAGCAGACTATCCACCGCTGTTCCAGAGCCTAACATTCGCATGGTCCCCCCCCCCCCGACCGCGAATTTCTTCTCCGAAACGTCATCCGCATGCATGGTTGTTTAGCGCCTTTTACGATACTTTCACGATACGCACGCAGGTATATAATTTAAATTTTGTTTCCCTGGTTGGTTTACTGAACACGGAGCTAGTGTGGTTTTTGCGATTCAACTGCACAATAAAACACAGTAATACGCCAGACGAAGAAAAATCCAAAGAAACGTAAACGTGAACGTTATTTTCGTTCCGATTGAGACACTGATAAAACGTGGCAAACAAATTAGTTTTTTTCGGAGGTCTTTTTTCATCAAGTGTCTTGGCAAAATTTCACAGTCCTATCTGATAAAAAAATTATAGTCCTTTTTCTGTCGATTTATTGTTATATCTCCAATATCAAAAACTAATTTGTAAGATGAAAAAATGATTGAAAAGATGTCTTCCGGTGAGATGTTTTTACCCCAAAAGAGACTGGATTCAATTCGGCCACAAGAGGGCGTGTTGTACGAGCAAAAGCACGGACATGCGCACAAACCTAATATTGCCATGAAAACAGCGGTGGATTTGGTCAGTATCAAATCAGGGCATAAATGATTAAAGTGCGCATGCGCAAAATATACCGCCCCTAAAGTGGTAACAAGCATTTTGATAGACATTTAAAACAAAACCAGGGTGACAGCGCCCTAAAAGCTGCCACCGCTGCAATGCTATCACATATTTTCCAACTCTGGAGGTGTATACATTGCCAAAAAACGCTACTTCGTTTGTCTTCTTGATTTGATACCGGTGGCCAAGCGTTGAGACCAGGCTGATGGCCTAAAGGGCGTTGCACACATAATGATCACAGTATGCCATTTATTTCGCGCAAGTTCCGTCGAAAAAATGATTGTGCACAGGCTAGGCCCAAAGATCCCATAGCGCCGCATATGTGAATATACGTACCGAATATATGCTTCAATTAATTGAATATCATCTTAAGAATGCAACCTGATTTCCCACAAAATTATGATGGAAACTTGTTGTCAAGTTGTTGACTTTTTTAATCACGATAAGCTGTGCGGAAATTCACGTGAAGGGCGTCCTGAACACTGCGACTCAGCACTCTAAAATTCTGGCGGCTCGGCTCCATGACGAACATAAACATGGCATTTGTGTTAAATTCCGTAACTTGAAAAAGTACATGAGCACGGAAGTGCCATTCAATAGGTATGAATATATTTTTTTGGTACATGTGAAAATATTTTTTGTACAGCGGCCGCCACTTATTTTCTGGCTGCTTGCACTTATTAAAAGTACAAGAAAGCGGAGCTTCTGAACCCAATAGAGCAAAGAAGAAGGTGAAAAGGCAAAGGTGGCTGATGGGGTGGTGGTGGGTTAAGTTTCATGGGCAAACAAAAATGCCTCTTCCCCGGTCAGAGGTGGAATCGAGAATGAAGCGCCGCCAAACTATTGCGTGCTATCTACATGTACGCGAAAGAACTTTCCACCAATGACCACCAGTTATTCGCGCATTTAGCGTGTGACGTAATCGTAAACTCGAGGTGTCCGCGCGTCCATAAACACGATTAAACTGCGCTTAATCGTCATTTATAGTCAATGGTATTGGTTTCTAATAGATTAGTGGGGTTTTCTTTCCAGGCGACACCCAACCGTCCCAAAAAAGTGCACCGCTGCCGAAAGTCCGCTATAAGGGGTCCCATAAAAGCACGTCTTTTTCTCAGTTTCTTTATTAAACAAATGAAGATCGAAGATTATTGGACTTTGGCAAAACTTAATAAATGTCCGTCAGTTTCATTTTAACGCATTCAGCAGGGCAGTCTTTCCCCTAACTCAAATTAAAATATAATTTGGAGAGTCATTCTTGATATAAGACATCATTAGGCCTATGTCCCGAACAAAATTTAATCTAAAGGGGAAATGGTGAACTTTTGACATGTTTGACATGTAATTTACGATATTTGAAAATAATAGTTGTCTTTTTGGGGTTGGATGTCTAATCATAAAAAATCCGTTAAAGATATTTCCAAAAACAAAACTTTCTCCAAATGTCCATGTTTTCTGAACATCAATTTTTTCATACAAAGCACAATATTGAACTACCTTTTGTTCTGCACCTCCACCTTTCAATCACAACCATGTCATATTAATCTACGCGCAAAGGACAGACGCAAGGATGCACAACACTTTAAGTACATTTTGAACCAAAAGTGCACTTTCAATGCATGTATTTTAAGCAGGGCCAAACTGTACACCCTGGGTAAAGTTTTTACATTTTGTACAATTACTTTTGTTTTAATTTTATGTAATATGGCATGATCGAGATTCGTACATAGGTTAAATTGTGTGGTGAATAAAATAAAATCTCTGCTTTGCAGTGTAGGGATGCAACCCTGCAAATAAATTTCCATAGACTAGTGCTAAATGCCCATACTTCAAAATTCTTTTAAAAATACTCAGAACTCTCACAGGTATTCAAGCTGCACAGAAAAATGATGATCAACATATGTCATCTTTCGTGCCAAAATCGGAATATTGATCTACAATGTCCAAATGACAAGAAAATGCAAAAACATTCCATCTAAAAAAATCCTGGATCCGCGCCTGATTATCATTATCGAGGGTTGATTATCATTATCGAGGGGCTTCCACCGTGCGCGCGTCACGGCCGATGGCATCTTTATAGCCCGCCAGTCGACCAGCAAGGTAGCTAGCCTGATCAGGGGATGCTTCGTGGACTTGCGGGCGGCGTACGACCACCTACACCACCCCACCCTGTGGAAGATGCTGCGTGTGAGGCTAGGCAAGGAGGCGGACAAGATCGTGGACATCATCGAGGCGAACTATGCGCAATCGGAGGCCAACCTTGACGGCACGCCCAGCCCCGTGCCGATCCACTGCGGCGTGCGACAAGAAGCCGCGGAGTCGTGTGTGCTATTCAACTATGCGATCGACCTCTGGCACTACACCAGATCGAGCGCAAGTACCCCGGGGCAGGAGTGCAACACCAATATGACATCACCAACGAGTGTACAAACAGGATGCAGCAGGCGGAACATGCTGCGAGAGGCGAGGCTGTGACCACCGTGATCACCTATGCTGATGACATACTTATGCTGGGACAAACACGCGAGGAGTTGCAGGGCATGATGAATGTCATTTACCTGACGTTCAAGAACTATGGGCTCACCATGGCAGGGGACAAGACGGTCAGCATGTCCTGGAACACGCCTGAGGAGACACGCAACAGCAAGAGCTTGATCACAGTCGGAGGGGAGGACCTGGGCAATGTCCGGACCTTCAAGTACCTCGGGCACGTGCTAGCCGACGACCCAAACAAGCCGCAACACATCACTCAGAAGATCAGCTCTGCACGGGCAAAGTGGGCGGAAATATAGGGTGTCCTGACGGACAAGGAGTTGAAGATGACAACACGGGTCCGGATGCTGGAGGCGATGGTGCGCAGCAGACTAGTCTATGCAGTGCAAACCGAACGACTCCGAGCCTCCGAACGAGACAAGCTTGACAGCCTGTGGATGAATTTCTGCAGAAAGCTAGTCAAAGGCGGGTTCAGCAAGAAGAAGAACATGGACGGTGAGGACACCTACGTGTACAAGTATAACGCCAGCGAGATACTCAAAATCTGCCGGACATCCCAAGCGAGCGAGTTTTGTCTAAAACAGCACGTCAAGTACATGGCGCACATTACTCGCATGCCCAACTCAAGCGAGCAGAAACAGTGGCTGTTCACCAAGGCTGAGCATAAATACACCCAGAACCAGTGGATAGCCCTCGGCCAGGACCTAGGCGGACTGGACGAAATGCACGTTAGGCACATGCTCTTCAACCGGAAAGAGCTCAATGCGTGGCTTCGGCGCCACGAATCACAATGGACGTAAAACGTCTGCAAGTGACAACACCTATGATGATGATGATTGAATATTTAGGGAGCAAACTCACCGCAAATCCAAAATGTCTTGGGAGGTTTTGGATCTCAATCTTGAAGATCTCTGAGGTGAAGTGCTGTTGCATCAGATAGTGATAAGGATCCGTTATGGCAGCACCAGTCACCGTACGTCTTGTGGGTCAAACCCTGATGCACAAATGAACAGATTAAAAAAATTAATATGGCTAGAGCTATATTGTCTAGGTCTTCACCCATGACAATTACATGGGAACAATCTGACGATAGCCATAGCCATAGCTCTAGAAGCCCGTTTCAGACACAGCCTAATAAGTAACAGATCAACAAAGTTGCAAGTTATGCATTAGGAGCATCTGATTCCAAATGTATACCAATCTTTGTACATACATGTTGGGGTTTGAACCCCGGACAACTACAAAGTCAGCCAAGTAGCATCACAACTCAGTTGATAAGCGGCGGCGCCACCAGATAATAAGTGGCGGCCGCCACATAATAAGTGGGGCCAGATAATAAGTGGCGGCCACCACATAATAAGTGGCCGCCAGATAATAAGTGGCGGCCACCACATAATAAGTGGCTGCCAGATAATAAGTGGCGGCCGCCACATAATAAGTGGGTGGCCGCTGTACAATATTTTCACACGTACCAAAAAAATATATTATATATTATTGAGTGGCACTATTCGTCTTCCGTTTGGGTACCTAGTTCCAGTTTTCAACCTTTCTTGGGTAAAATTAACCCAGGCAATTTTTCAGTATATTCTCCCTCCTCATGCTAATGTATTTCTTCTGTTTACACAAAGGTAAGTTTGATGATGCTGCGAGTATGGCACTTTGAGTGTCAGACAGTCTGAGATACATGCAGTTGAAATGTTCTCTTTGAAGGCATCTGTGATACGGTCACAGTCCGCGTTTGATACTGTTACGAACCCAGAATGCTTGATTATGGAAATCTAGCGCCCTCTGGATTCACTCTGTCCATGAAGTACACAATCTTATTGTTGTCTTTTGCTGTTCCCTTATTTTACCTATTTATCGTAAATTGCCAACTTGCACTTTTATTCCCAGGGTCTCTTACCAAGCACAGCGCATGATGCAATACCACGCGCGCTACTGTATGCATTATTCATGTAGCGATGTACATGTGCGCGACTGACCACACATCCCTTCGCCCCAGCGAGCTAAGTTCCTTTCCCCATAGCATGCGTGCTTTGGCGTTCTCCGAAAGACTGCTCAGCGGCACGAAGCATTTCTCTCCCCCGTGTGTTACCCATGAACACTGACTGGAGTTCTCGGTCCAGTTTTCCAGTCCCGTACTTAGCTCGAGGGAATGGAATGTTACCCTTGCGTGGTCGCGTAGCTGGGCGTGGTAAGACATCCTGTGATGTAAATAACCTGTGACACAGTAACCTTTTAGCTTGTCACTCACTCCATCAAGGTTGCTCGAGATGTTGTGTAAACACTTTTGCACTCTGGTCTAACTATTTGCACACATCTCTCTCTGTATTTGCACACTTCTCTCTCCATGTTTTCCCTCATGTAAATGCACACGTTTCTAGTCTCTTGCACTAGGCACTCTTAGTAAGCCGTGTGACTAGTCATGTGACCCTTAGACATGGAAGATTACTATTGGTTAATTCCTAAATCAGTGCTCATGCATTATTTAATCCCGAGACTTCTACTGCCTATAAGTACCGGAGGTTTTCCTTACTTTCGGCAGTGCGGCGAACCACGAAACCAATGTAGTGCGAACGAACCCTAAACCCAAAGTTGTGCGGCGAACTTATATGTTGTGCGGTAACTCGTGTGATGTGCGACGAACTCGACTCTGACAGACCGATTGTTGTGCGACTCTTGTCACTACGAAGCATCGGACTCCCTTGATGGTTGAGGCGCGGTGAAGTAATAGTGCAATCACTAGTACTAGTGTTATTATGAAGCATCCTTCTCCTAGATCCCTCGAGGAGTGTGTAGAAGCTGGTGAAATAGTAATACACTAGTCCCAATGGTGCTGTGCGGTTTCGAATGGCCATTGGACTGCTAGTCTTAGCTTGAACATGTTGTGCGGTTGTCTGGTGTTCTAGCCCAGCCAGAGCTAGTTCATCCCCGTCACCACAGCGGACCGCTCCCGCTGTGGCCAACCGGCTCCCCGTAGCCATTCCCCCCGTAGTTCAGCTATGCTAGCCCGGTCTTGTCATAAACACTATCCTTGGTGCATAGTGCCTCGATTGACCTTGGATACCCGATATGCCACATGCACACTTTGGTTCGAACTGTAGTGCGGCCTGGTACACTTGCTGGCCCCGTCCAGTTACCGTTGCCTCCCGGTCACCGTAGCGGACCGCTCCCGCTTCGGTCTGACCGTCGATAACCCGTACCGTGCCGGTGCCCACTCAGTTCGTATTGGTTGACATGGTTTTGCCATAGTACATAGTACATGTATAGACTTTGTAGACACCAACCTGTTATCTCTATAACGCTACCAAAGACTACCAAAAGGAGAAACCCTATAGGTTGATGAAATCTAAACAAAGTTATGTAAAGTGAAGAGATGAATAAATCAGTGTATTGACATGTGTGACTGTCACCCCAAAGCTCTGTTTCCCTCCAACTTATTGAATTATTGTTGACTCTAATAAATGTTTCATGAACTGCTATTAGGGAACGCAACAATACCTTAACTCGTTTCCTTTTCACTTGTAGGTAAATCAGGGAGGTTAGAATTGTCATGAGCAACATGTGTATCTCAAGGTCAACGGTGAAAGGTCAAATCGAGGAAAAGTTTAGGGTCATTGAGTGAGTACCAACATGGGCAAGAAAAAAAAACTGAGAGAACATCCATGCATGCTGATAAACATTGCAATTCGAGTACATTATACACTCTTTTAACGGAAATGAATTAAAACACATGTACATTATTCACAGCTTTGAACATACATTTTGTTGAATTGCAATTTGGAAAACACATTTTTATTTTAAAACCAACAACATCGCTAGGAAATCAGACGAAATACTGTTACAACTTACAGAGAAATTCCTCAAACTAAAATGATGGTCGGATTCTTAGGCCAACACGGTTAAGAAGATAAATAGATTCATATCCCTAATACCATTATCACCGTACTAAGCTTTGCTTAAAGGAAACATGCAATAGGATTTTTATGACTTAAATACATTTAAAAAACTTTCTTGTCATGTAACTATGAATTTCCTTTTTTGTTGCAGTACAAGGGAGAAGTTTCAACATTTGAGTTTAATGCTAATGAATATTTCCATATTCATGAGCCAAAACGTGATGTCATTCATGGCAAACCAGTAGTGTCTCGGTAGCTTTGTGTACACATTTATATACATGTGCATATAACTTCTCTTCAGTCTTTTGGGAGTAAGTTCCACTTCTTACTTGTTTAACATGTTAAACAGCTTGTTTGGACAATAGAAGTGGCAAATATTTCTTCAAAACTTTATTTTGTGGGTAATTTTGAAGAATAATTTTTGTACTGTTCATATGCACTTTTGACTAGGAGCACCTTGTGTGACAAACCAAAATAGCGCCCTCTTACATAAATTGATGGAAGGATTTGCTCAATAATTGAAAAAATACCACTTTTTTGTCACTTTTTTGCCAATGAAAACAAGTATTCAGATCTTGCATGTGTTGTTGCAACACATAGTAATGAGCATGAAAAGAAGATGAGCTGAATTTCCACTGCATGTCTCCTTTAACGAAAGACTTGATCACTTCAAAGACAATTTGAAACCCATACTACCGATAATGATGAAACGTGCTACTTTAAAAAATAATCATTTTCAAATACAACGATCGTAGGATTTTTAGGCTAACACAGTTGAGAAGATCAAATACAATTTATGCCGATTAAAATATTCCCGTCGCCATCATCATACCGAACTATACAGAAAAGACGCATAAGGTGGCGTTTTTAGGTGTCCTGTCATTTATAACTACAGGGATACATAGGTGTCAATGGAAAACTGGCAAACCACAGTGACATGAAGTTTAATGAGGATTTTTAATTAATTAATAATAATTAAAAAAATTGTATAAATACCACAAATTCATGTCACATAGTATAACCCGAGGTACTTCATGTTTTCATATCAAGGAACATTTTAAAGTAGTGAGCAGCATGAAGCTTATGGTATGCCAACTCTGCAAATCCCTTTTCAGTTTGACAAAGCATCCGTTTTCTATTTGTGGTAAAAAAACGACACTTCTCTTGATCAATTTCCGGGTCATTTTGACACGGAAACCCTGGACCAAGTGCCATTTTAACCCGTGAAAGTGTCGTCTATTACCCTGAATGTATTAAGCCAATCAAGCTGTCGTTGATTGAGGAAGCATTTTCATTTTTTTCCAATTCTACTCCAACTTTATTTGTAACTTCGATGTTCTTCTTCAAGTCGTCCTTGGCTAAGGTGTTATAGTTATTACAATTCATGGCTTCCCACGCAC